ACAGCAGTTATAGTAAATGTAATTAACAGAACCACTCACTAGTCTTCTCCCCGCTGGCTTTCTGCTCATTCACTGAAAGGCTTTGGCATTTCATATCTGTTTTATTCAGCACCATTCCATCCTCATTAGCATGGCAACCACGCCTCCCCTCAGGAGTACCAAAAACTTTCAGAGAAAAGTTCTTACTCCTCAGTGCAATACAGGGACAGCACAGTACTTTTTTCCCCTCAGAACTTCACAGAGGGTGCATTTTGTTCTTTTCAGTTCCTGCTTAACACAGATGTTATGCAAGTCAGTTTCATGCATCTGCTACCAAAACAAATGAAGTGCTGGGGTGAAAAAACCACACTGATTTAAGAAGAGGATAAATAATTGTGTACTTGTCACCTAAAGGGCAAATGATATTAACTAATCTCTCACCGCAGTGTTAAGTGACTTGGTGTGGCACATTTCCTGTTTTTTAACCGATCTGTATGTTTAAGGTCACAGCCTGGCAGCCTGAGCTGTTCATTACACACCTACGAGAATACCAGCTTGGGGCACAGCACAGAGATGGTTTGCTGCATTAAATCTAGCTCAGTTATTAAGGGTGCCACTTTTTTGGTACAGTTTGTCTCATTCAACATGTCTAAAAAGCTGAAAAATATCAAAATAATTATTAAAGAGCATACATTTACATTTGCCTGATGTAGCAGCACTACTATTCTAATATTCCTTCTACTGCATCCAGCCAGAGGTATCTTTTTTCCCCACTGTTATTGAAGCAGTATCAATTGACAGTTTTTCAAGTTATCTCCATTTCCTCAATGTTTTTCTCATTGCAACACCTAGATGGAAAATAGCTATTCTATACACACATGTTCAAGCAAACTGGTCTACTACTATTACATCATTCAGGAACAAAGACATTTTAAATTGTGGTTACTATTACTTTCAGTAGTACATTTCCTACTCAAAGCATCTCAACATACCGTAACAGTATATAAACTCTAGCCAGTAACAGTCAAGAAAGACAACATCAATTAAACAACTTAAGATTAGTTTACTTTCACAGTAACTGTATATTTGCTACATTTTATATAAAAAAGACAAAAATATTTCAGATCCACCAAGCTCTGCATTTTCTTCATTATATTTGCATTTCAACCAGCATCCAAGATTCTTCCAAGACACAGCTGTTCAAGAGATGTATCTGTTTAGCTAACAAAATCCTAGATGACTCTGCAATTTCAATTAAGAAAATGCAAACGTAATAAACAAACATGCAAACTCAAAAGATATCTTTATCTGCACAGTCCTCCCATCCTGTATGCCAAAACACTACAGTGTGTTCCAAAACATATCTGCTACACATATGCTCCAGTTTCTGACTCTGGCTCTCCTCGGAAGTTTACGTCAGAGGTTTCAGAGGGTTCTTGTTTTTCATTTTCTCGCTCCCACATCTTCCGCTTTTGGTGGCTTAAGCATTCTCATCTGTCACACACCGAGTTGAATTCGGAAGTTTAAGAACTTACCATCACAAACTTCATATTTGAATAAATAAAAGGGTGCCTACTCTGAGCTCCAGACACCCTGGGAGTCAGTATTATATCACCAAGACAAAGTTCTGGAAATAGTAAATAACAAATCAAAAGGAACTCTAACAAACCATCTTCAAAAGATAGCTACTTGTCAAATTCTCACAATTTTGATCCATACGCACTCTGTTCTCTTTGTTTTGAGACCCCTTCAAAACCAGCCAAACAAACAATGCCAAGAGATGCTCAAACATACCAGATTATACACAGGTAAATTCACAAGCTGAGTAACGTATGGACTTAAAATTAATCTCCTGGATGGAAGACAAAACCCCCAACTGCCTTCTCTGAGAAATGTCGTAGCTGGATGAGCATGGGTAACCGCATTTTCTTCAACAGAAGCATTTCATGATGACCTAATATAACAAGTGATCTCTGAAATGCAAATAAAGGGTCCTTAATAGCAGAATTTGGTGGTTCAGTGGAAAAGAGCTTGCTCTAGCACTACTCTGACCAAACCTTTTCAGTAGGGACCTCTTCTAAACCTCCCTTGCTCAAGCCTCTTCAAGAAAAGGTTTGAGTCTTAAGACTGAGCTGAAGATACACACAAGAGCAGCTATTCAAGTACTACAGTTTTGTTCCAATGAAAGAGTTCCCTTTCTCAAAAAAAAACTCCACCACTGAGCTTTGCTGCTGCTGAATCCTGTTCAAGAGGAGCTACTGAAAATAACCATATGCAGTTACTCCAGAGCACTATTCTCTCTCCAGAACATTTTCCTATTACCAGCAGAACTTATAGAGTAGTATCAAACTGACAAAATTGTAGATTTTTTTCTTCTCTCCATTGCTATTTATCACACTTCCACATCTTTAAAATGCTTTTCAAAGCATGGCTGCAATAAGGAGGAAGGTGAACAGACAGAGGGAGAGAGGGGAAAAAAGACTGCAATAGTTAATATGGACTGTAAAGTCTCAATGTAGACAAGTAACACACGAGTTCTGACTTTTAGTGCTACATCAACAATGACACAAAGCTGTGTGGTGGGGTTGACACACTGGAGGGAAGGAATGGCATCCAGGTGGATCTGGACAGGCGTGAGAGGTGGGATTGTGAGAAGCTCATAAAGCTCAACAAGGCCAAATACAAGATCCTGCACCTGGGTCTGGGCAATCCCAAGCACAAATACAGGCTGGGCAGAGAATGGATTCAGGACAGCCCTGAAGTGAAAAACTTTGGGATGCTGGCAGACAAGAAGCTCAACATGACCTGTCAATGAGCACTTGAAGCCCAGAAAGTCAGCTCTGTCATTGGGCTGCATCAAAAGCAGCATGACCAGCAGGTCGAGGGAGGAGATTCTGCCCCTCTGCTCTGCGCTCATGAGACCCCACCTGAAGTCCTGCATCTAGATCCGAGTCCCCCCAACACAAGAAAGATGTGGACCTGCTGGGATGAGTCCAGAGGAGGTCACTAAGTTGATCACAGGGTAGGAGCACCTCTCCTATCAAGACAGGCTGAGATAATTGGGGTCGCTCAGCCTGGAGAAGGCTCCAAGGAGATCTCATAGCAGCCTTCTACTACCTAAAGGGGGTTGACAAGACAGCTGCAGAGGGACTTTTTATAGGGCATTTAATGAAAGGAGAAGGGGGAATGGCCTTAAGCTGAAAGAGGGTAGGTTTAGAGTAGATATTAGGAAGGAATTCTTTCCCGTGAGGGGGCTGAGGAACTGGAACAGGTTGCCCAGAGAAGCTGAGGATGCCCCATCCCTGGAAGCGTTCAATGCCAAATTTGATGGAGCTCTGAGCAACCTGGTCTGGTGCAAACTGTCCACTTCACTATGTTTCAACCAGGGTGGCTGAAACTAGATAGCCTTTAAGGTTTCTTTTAACCTAGGCCAGTCCATGATGCTAGCATAAGTATGGTAACATAGCAATTTGCCTTCCTGTGGATTCTGCAAGACATACAAAAGTTAACATTGCATTTTCCGGAAGAGGTAGTGAAAAATAGAAACCTGATCAATCATTAAAGTGTGCAAACAAAAGTCTTTTTATATTTTCTTCAAGTTCTTCTTTTCATAAACTGTTCCCATACCTTTAAGATTACTCTAGCTGCTCCTGAAAGTTTGATTATTAAAATGTGAGCTTAGGAAACATGGAGAAAATTAAACAATTTGCACTTCACTATCTGCAATTTCATGTGTCTGACTTGTATTAAGTGTTCAGAGACCCTTGATGCAAGTGAGGGAGTAAATAAAGCCCGGAGCAAGAAAAGTCCCAGTCCATGGCCTGTTGATGGGTCACTGCAGCTGCTGAAAACTGGTGACACACTGGAGATCAGACAATTTCAAAAACAAAAAACTCATTAACTGAAAGAAGGTGTTACTTTGACAGTACCAGGGGAAACTAGAGATTAGAGAGACCAAAAAGCTTTCCAAAAGCTCACTCAACAACCAGAAACTGACCCCCTCCTGCCCAGGATGCCAGATACTACAGACACATGAGTTCACTTATGGACATAAAGAGAACAATGACCCAGTTTCTCAGCTCACATGTAAAACAATAATTAAAGAAAAAGCTTGTGACTGCATTATGAGCTATTGTAACGTAAAGATACATAGAGATCTGCACCACCATCCCGTGCAGTTTAACATAATACATTTTAGAGCATTATACAACCTGTTGCTCAACATTGGACAACTTCCTTGCTACAAGCTCTATCAACACATACATCTCACTGACTGCTACAGCCACATTATACTCAAATTAGATAAACAGTCGTCATACATGACTTACTTCAAAGAAGATAAACTGAAAAAAAAATATCCAAATTCTTAAAGTGAATTTAACTGAAAAGTGTTTCCCTCAATAACAACTAGACTTTTACAAGGTTTTTATCCCCAGAGAGATAAATGGAATGTCATGCAATTTGCTGCAGGTGAAATGCATAGCAAATAATCTCTGGAAAAGCTAAAATCTTGCTGATGTCAAAAAGGCACTGGAAGTCTTAGAGCTATTCTATAAGAGATAGTTTGCTCTGATACTCTCCACAAAATTCTGTCATCATCATACTGGGGGTACCTATGGGCAGTAGCTATTACTCTGCCTGTCATTAAGGTAATCATAGTTTAACAATACCGAATTCAGGTAAATGTAACAAGCCCAGGAAAACTGTAAGACTAAAGACCTTGCATTTAGGTAAAGAAAAAAAAAATGCACTGACAAATGATGTTGTCGACATTTAAAAAATGCAATCAGTTAAACTGCAACCTACATCTACTTAATCACAACAGACAGCACTTATTTCCCAACTTTTTAATATATAATATGTAATACTGAAGGCACTTTTGTCAACTGACAAAAAAGACAATACTGAGCAGTACCTACCATTGTCATTATCAGTCCTATCAAGACCCCCAACTCATAAGACTACATATGATCTAACAGAGAATCAGGCTGAAAAGAAAGTAATAATTTATGAACACATACCTATAATGGAATCCCTTCGAAAAACATCTCTGTCAAAAATATAAAATGACAGATGGCGAAAGGTCCGAGGAATTTCACAGTAAAAGTCTTCTCCATAGAAGGGGCTGAGTAAACAAAAAAAAAAAACAACATACACAAACACACACACACACAAAAAAAAAAGAAAATACATTAGTGTTGGTGAGGAGCCAGTGTGTTTACACCTACAACATCACTCTGGGCTGCGACAGCCTTTCCCAACAGTGAATGTGCACCTTCAGGCACTGTTCCACTTGGACTCTTCCTAAATATCTTAAATGCCCATAGAACAAGATTTCTGTGCAAAAAAAGAATAGATACTTCTTTCTATCTGGAAACTAAGTGTCCCTTAACAAAGGGGGCAGAGACTACATTATTTGTTAACATACAGTGCCTTGAAGGGTAGAGAGACACCAGCTGCCACACAATGCCTACAGCAGATCATTACGATACAGATCACAAAAGCATACATATGAACAGGATGAGAAAACTACAGCATGGCTCATGGCATATATATATATTATTTTTTTTAAGCATTTAGTATATTTAAAATAAAATAGTCATATTCAGTCAACTGATGGTAACTAAGTCTTGGAGTTGTCACCATGCTTGTTACCTCATAGCACTGAATACCTATTTTTGCACAGTAGAATTGTATAGAGTAAGTTTCTTTACAGTAAGACCTGATTTTTTTTAAAAAATGAATACTATCTCAGCATGAAAAGCTCTTTAGGGATGTAAGGGGCTTTCTTTGTGTCCTACCAATTTAAATGGGGGGAAAAAAGTAACTCAGACACCTTGACAGCAACCCTTCCAGTTTCTCTCCATTCAATTATATGGTTAAGGATTTACTCCTCAGAACTATATGCATGTATCAACATTATTTATTCATTGACAGGTCTACCATTTTAACAGACCTTTCATTTCAAGTCACTCATGCTTCAGTAGATCTAAATGAGTAAATGCAATTTGAGTCACATGGACAAATACAGCAAGCATTGCAGATGTAGGCTTAAAAATAAACTTAACTCCAACAGGCCAAAAGCCAGCAAGTTATTTCTTCCCATCTTAAACACAGGCATCCTTATTATCTTGGTTAAGTTCAAAAATAAGATAGAATTGTGCTGTAGCTGTAACGATTATTAAAGGCTTTTTATGTCAGAAAATTAGATTTGCAAAAATTATTATCACTATTATTATTATTATTAGTTCCATAGATTAACTTTAAATTTTTCAGAATTTTGTCAGGAAAGGTAATTCCCCTAGCTTCTTTCAGGATTTTGCTTGCATTTCCACCTACAGTAAAAATACACTTCCCCAGAATTACCACATTCCCTCAAGAACTATCTGACAAGTCTCCCTGAAAACACACAGGCACTGAAGATTAGCCAAGCAGTCTTTGTTGGAAGAGAATACAGTAAGTTCAGAGACATCATTCAGTATTCAAAGAGAACATTATTTAAGTCACTGCTCTTCCAGCCACATGGAAGAACATATATTGGATAAACAACAAAGCCCAAGGCATACCCACAGGTTAAACTTCCACCACCAAAACACTTTCCCATTCCTTGAAATAAATGCATCCATCCATAACTTATGAAAAACAATGTGAGGCCCACTCAGTCATCCCTACTGTGAAGGCAGGGGAAGAAAATGTAACAGCTGGAAATGGCAGCTGGTTTGACTGTTTGTCCCAACTGCCCTGTCCTGTTCAGCATTCCTTTTTACATCCTCTTTACCCATTCCACTCTGACAGGTTTTATTTGGAATCAAGACTTTAGCAACCACCACTTCAGGCACAAAATACCTTAAATCTTCAGTATAAGCAGCTCCTACCAGACTGTCCCAGAAGCCATGCAGGCAGCCCCAAGGGCCTCATTCTGTGCACATCACTTGGTGCAAGTTTTCACGCACAGGCTTAACCCAAGGGGGCTACACAAATGCATAAATATTGCCCAAATATCGAGTGCATTATACATGCAAAACATTTCCATCATCCTGAGCTTTAATAGTCTGTTCAGCCATAAAATTGTCCTGTCTGCTGGAAGAACATGACAGATGAATTTACTCACTAATGACCTTAGAATGAAAAAATACTCAATGAACTGTGGATTATACATATACAATCCTCTATCAAGAATACAAGAGAAGCTTGAGTATACTGCAAGTCTAAAGGCAATATAAATACAAGTGACTTATACTGAGCATACTTTAATTTAGCTCAGCTGACTCTGGGAAGAAGAGCAGGGAAGAGACAGCAAGTGAGACCTTAGGCAAGTCCCCTAATTACGTTTGTCACTGGTAGTGACTAGATGCAGAAGTCAACTAAGACAACACCACAGCAAAACGAACACAAGAGTCACAAAAGCAGAGTGAACAACAGGAGGTACCCAGCCCAACCCTGGTATCAGAAAAAGACTAATTAACAGAAGAAACACTATGAAGGCTTAGTCATGCAGGGACCATATCAGGTCACTCTTCTAGGCACAAGGCTTATTAGTCTAAGCAGTGCAGTCTGAGCCACTGTCAACAGAAGAGAAGCTTTGTTCTGCTCTTGGCTTTCCCTCTTCGAGATCTTGAACCCCTTGCAGATTCACAACCTCTCATCACTGAGGTAACACCCCTGAGGTGCACTGGTTCTTAATTAATTTAAGCAAGCGGATTTCCAACACAAGCATACTCACTCTGCACCGGGTAATTAGCCAGCAGTTTTAACTGTAAGGATACATATCAAAATAAATCTGATATGCCCCCACCCCAATCTTGTGTAGCTCTGCAGAAACAGTAACTTCTTTCTGAAGGAATCAAAAGCAACCACACAAATGCTTCCAGATTCCACTTAAATGTGTATCTCTTCAGAACAGTACTCGCTTTGTCTCCCATCCAGACCTGAAGAGCAAGAGGTCGAAGCAGTCAAACCCCATGATTTATTTCCCAAGCTAACTTATCTTGAACAAGAGCCCCAGGGCTCCAGAACAGTTTTTCCAAAAGAACAGCTAAATCCCTCCCTCAGAGTCTCCTCTCTCCCAAAAGCCAGAATTAGTCTGATGGGGATTCAGTGAGTACTTTTATTTTGACATAGCAATTAATAAAAAGCAGCAGCATCTGCCTACACAGCCCTCAGGAGTCTGACAACATCCTCCAAAACAAATACTGGAAATAGCCCGGCTGAAAACTCGGAAATCTTTCAGAACCTAGTGAGTTCAGATTTAACTCACAGGTTTTGAGTTAAACTTTCCTTGCAGTTCAACCAGTCCTATACTGAGGAGAAATTTTAATCATTCATAGAGGAGGACACATAATGAGGGCCTCCTCCCCAACCTTGCAGAGTAGGCTGCACATCAATATGATCAAAAGGGAAGGACATGGACAAGCCCAGTGTTACCTTATGGACTTCAAACAAATGATGGGACGTAACTGCTGAGAGCAGGAACTTGCAAGGCCAGAAACAGAGGACCTCCACTGCAATTAATCTCCTTCCAAGCTGAGTATAACTGCATTTTCAGAACCAGTTTCTTCAATAAAGACTACTAAGTTTAGAACAGCTTTACTAATTTCTGCTGCAACAAGAGCAGCAGTGCAGGTATCAGCTACTCTTTAGTTACAAAATAGGGTTTGTTCCTAAATCAGTCTCTTGTTTTACTGATGAGATTAGAAATGGAGAAAGACCTGTATCAATTTTTAAATCCTTGTTCCAAGCTTTCAGGCACACAAGGGTCTGACTTTGTAGCCTTCTATTCCACATACCCTCACTTACAAACCTATCTCATTTCTTTTTCAGTACAGGCCCATCACCTTAATACGCTCTGAAGGAGGAAAGCCTACCTCAGTAGTCCTTTTTCCACAAGAAGCACAAGGCTCTCTTACTGCACAGCTTTTATACAGCCTCTACCACTAACACATAGACAACCAATCCCTGCTCAGGACACCTTCCCTAGAATGCTTCCACAGCTCTCAGTACAGAAGAGACACACACAGAATATAAAGTCAAGTAGACACATAAATAGTGCAATGGATTTGAATCTTCAGGCATACTCTCCCCTCACCAAAAGCTTGCTTATTCTGAATGCCAAGAAAACAAAACCCAAAACGATCCCGCTAGGTATTTTTTCACTTACATACGGCTTCAAACCAGTCTCATTTCAAGGTATCTGTTTTTGCATCTCTTCTAATGTGTGTTTTGGCAATTTTCAGAAGGAAACAGGGAAGGATAAGAGAAACAAAAATTACTGTGTAGATCACGTGGAATGAAAGCAAATAAGGAAGAAAATCCTTACTTCAAACATGATGAATGGGAGCTTCTTCCTCTCTAAAGGGTTCAAAAATTGTTCACATTTATATGTCTTACTAAATTCCAGCAGTGTAGTTGCAATTTAATTCCGTTACTTCAGATACCTACTGAAATAATCACAAATGCTATTGACAGAGAGGAAGAAACTTCGTAAAAAATGTCAGTGTAAAAACATTCCTTTAGTTTCAGGCTGTGTTGCAAAACCTCATGCTTGTTTCTCAATGCTTAGGTTTTGCTAGAGCAGTTTTGTTTTTATTTTGGCACCAGCAGTTCAGTGGATGAAGTGAAAGAGTTGCATGATGAATAATAATGAAACCCCTCAAACCAGAATTCTTTGTGTATGGATTTTTTTTTTTCTAAACTGCTTTTGTGATTGAAAGTAAGGACTATTAACATGCCACAGACAACTCCACATCCTCTGACTATTTTAAAAGGTTTAGAAATACTGGATTCATCCTGCTGCATGAACTGAACGCCAGGGTTCACATCACCATGTGAGCGGGAAGCAAAAGCAGTCTGTACAAAGGAGCACACTTGTTTGTTTCTACTACTAAGCTTTTCCTACTACTTGGCTAATACTTCTTATGCTATGCTTTGCAGGGTTTGTAAAAGAATTGGGGTGGGGTAGAGAAGAGAAGGTTTATTCAAAGCAGATACAGCAAGCCAAATAAAATCTGAACGCACTTCAGTTCTCCTACTAGACACAGAACTAGAAGACAACAGGCACACAAGACAGGCTCTGTAAGAGCCAAAGTTCGCAAGCGTCATAGTAGCTTCCTTACACAATTTATTAAA